ACTCGTAATTACAATTTAGAGGACAGATTGTTTTGGCTGATGAAAATTCGTCGGTTTTGTATGGAAATCCCTGTGACGCAAAATTTGCCCACGCTTCGCCTCCCGACCGCTCTTTCAAAAGAAGACACATACGCAATATACTTTTTAGTAAATAGCTTTCTGCGCCTCAAATCAGTCCAAAAAGAAAACAAAAAATAGTAAAATCGAGAAAACGCAATAGTAGTAGCCACTAACATTTCTGTCACGTCATCTTCCGAATTTTGTCGTCTTCTATGTTTATTTCGACTATACATTTTACTCTGTGGCGGCAAGGTCTTAACTTACTATCTTATTGACCCTAAAGAATTCGAGAATGCCCATGGTAGGTACGAAATTACGAGTGATACAAACGTGAATACTGCCACTATGTGTATATTTATCATCTGGTCTAAGCAACCTACCCGGAGAAGGTTCTTGGCCAGAGTATGATGCAAGTGTGTATAAGATAAAATTGGCGTACACTTTCAAAACAGCCATATATACATTGCGAAACTTTTTCTCTAGGTAAAGGGAGAAATTAACGTGCGTTCAGGACCAACCAAGCCAAGTTGATCACTGAACAGCATGAAGAAAGATTGATTTTTCCTCTTACTTAAGAAGAAAATTGGTAAAAATGTTTATTCTAAATCGACTAAAAGAGCAAATTTGTGATTGATACTTCAACGCACAACAAAGTCACAATCGGAGTAATGTGGGAATTTGTGTTAGGTAAACAGTCCGCTACCAAATACATGAATACCCGAGAAACCGAAATATTCAAGTTTAGAATGTACATGCCGACGTGGCAGGTCAGAAATGAAATTTTTCTTCATTATGATAAACTGAAAGCTATTAATTTATTAGACTATGCACAAAAGCACGCAGTGTAGAAAAGCAATGCCTTGACTCAATTGACCCAATTGGGAAAGAACCAGCGGCCTCGGTGGGACTCGAACCCACGCCAGCAAGGGAAGGCTTCAGTACAGCCAACGCTCTAGCTAACTCACATCGCAAGACCTCACCGGAAGCCGTGAATTTAATCCCCACTGGGTCGATTTACCCGCCCAGCCTACTAAAACGTATAAAATGCGCCAATACTGGTATAATAAGTGTTGGGACGCCGCGCGTCCCGTGATGAGTCAACGCACTCAACGGCGTCGCGTGAGCCGCTTGCCGTGAGCCAGTCTTGTCTGCTCAATCCTGATTGGCCCATTGTCGGACGATGTCTCTCGCGTTCCCTTTAAAGTAAATGCACCCTGTATCTGACTGAACTTGCGCTGGCTTGCATTGACGCGCTGTACCATGCTCTTGTATGAGTAGACTCTTTGTCTGGGAGACTGGTCTTCTCACCGTTTCTCTTACGGGCGCTTGGGGGAACCGGTTAGTGCTGATTAGAAGTACCAAAGCGGGTCATAACAACTTGGCGACGCAGTCTTTCACTCTGCAATGGAGGAATTGTGCGCGGACTTGAAGCTGATGTTGCAACAGCAG